TTTTGAGCTAGTGAGTAGTAAGGTGTGTGTTTTGCACTAGTTGAGAGCGAAGTTATCGAGATTGTGAATCGCTGTAATTTATAGCGTGTATTATAAAAGTTGTTAAGTTTAAAGTGACGAGAAACGTACTGATTGTGGAACTTCTGTGTACTAAAAGTTTGTATAGAGGAAGAATAAACTGGTTCAATCAAGAAAGGACTTGTATCGCTGAAAATCCTCGGAAAGAATTTCTACCGGAAACAAACAAACAAGCATATACGCAACAACTGTTATAGTGAACACTTAGAACTTGTTACTTTATAGCAGGTCACGCGTGGTAGTATTGAATTTTCTATCTCTTTTAGTTTAAGTTAAATTTAATAAGTCAGTAAATGTGTTTTCTTTTCCACTATAATTCCTAAAATTGGAACATGGCTCAAAAGATTTTTTAACTATAACTTTCCTCTGTGGCTAATTGAGTCAAGTGGAGATTAGACACCTTATTTTATGATTCTCTTACAGTACACCCTACACAAATTCTTGGTGGTTGTTTTGGTATAAGATCTTCAGAGGTAAAGCCTCAGAAGATTACTGGAGGTGTTCAGAAGCTTTAGCTCTTCTTCGCCACACTCGTGATGTAGGTAAAGAGCTGTACTTAGATTTCAACATTTTAGCATTATTGGAGTATAGGGTGATATCACTGTGATTCTTCTCAATAGCCAAACTGCCTTTATAGGACTTATGGTCTTTCAGGGCAGCGGGGATCTACAAATCCATTGACTGGAATTATATTGGGGGATACGGGAGTACCCCAGGAAAACTCACATTCACTGGTCAGGTGCCCGATAAATTTGAGAGGTGTTGTAACAGGAAGAGGAAGGAGTTATGGATGTGGTCGAGGGTTAGTGTGATAAGAAATTTTACTTAGTGAACTTGAGGATGACTTCAGAATGATCTGTCATGGGGAGGTTCTTACAGGAATAAAAACGTGCTTTTTAAATAAGACATCAAATTATTCTTGTCAGCGAATTGGACAGTAGCTGTGGGTGAACTCGACAATTGGCCAACTGATCAATCGGGCACCAATCACTGTTTTATTGTATCAGAAACACGAGGGTTTAATTGGGCTTGAGAGAGCAGAATTTCATTAGATTTTACATAGAATTTTCCTAGTTTTTACGCAGATGCTCATCTAGATTTACAGAGTTTTGTAAGGGTTCATCTAGATAGAATTTACGCTTTGCACCAGATTTACTTAAAATTTCCACGGATTTTACAAGGATTTTAGCAACTTTTACTAAACTCCAAGGCAGTATTTCCGTAACTCTCACTTCTGCATGGGAACTCTTGATGTTCTCGCTTTCGATTACCGATAACAGGTTTATATATTTTTGTGTTGTTTTACCTTCCGAAAACGCTTCAAGTTTTCCTCTGACTTTAAAGTTGACTTCCATTTTCGTTTGTGCGAGTTCCATTTGGCTTTCGTCTATAGTTGAGTTAAATGTCTAAGTATCTGTTTAAGTTCACCAGTGAGTGAATAGTGTATAAGTCCCCCCCTCCCAGGATAGTGGAGCATATATTTTTGTTTCAAGCACCTATTATTTATTAAGAGTAAGGTGAGAGTAACCAGAGTTAACTTTGCTGAACTACATTTTAACTTGGGGGAACTCTCTGTTTATAATTTGTTTTTATATTTTAGCCTAAGTTATGACGGTTTGTTTGTTTGAAGTTAAGCACAAAGCTACACAATGAGATATCTGTACTCTTCCCACCACGAGTATCAAAAACCCGGTTTCTAGCGTTGTAAGTCCACAGACATACCATTGTGCCACTGGGGGACAAGTTATGAGGGGTGGACAAAACACGCATCAGCAAGAGCATATATATATGTGTGTGTGTTGTATATATATATATATATATATGAAAATGTATATATATTTATCTATTTAGAATTTAGTAAAGTTTTGTCACTTTTACTGCCCCCCCCCCAGTTGCACAGCGGCATGTCTGCGGAGTTACAACGCTAGAATCTTGGTTTCGATACCTGTGGTGGGCAGAGCACAGATAGCCCATTGTGTAGCTTTGTGCTTAATTACAAACAAACAAACAAAACTTTTACTAGTCATACACACTTTTTCTGATACACGTATAAACAAACGAGCACTTGCCTTGTAGGCCCGGTGGTTAGGGCACTCGACTCACAATCTGATGGTCGCGGGTTCGAATCCCCGTCCTACTAAACAATTTCGCCCTTTCAGCCGTGGGAGCGTTATAACGTGACGGCCAATCCCACTATTGTTTAGTAAAAGAGTAGCCCAAGAGTTGGCGGTGGGTGGTGATGACTAGCTCCCTTTCCTCTAGTCTTACACTGCTAAATTAGGGCAGATAGCCCTCGTGTAGCTTTACGCGAAATTCAAAACAAACAAACTTGCCTTGTATTGTATAATAATGCATTATCATTTTTAAAATCTGTGAAAATCTCCATTAAATATTGGCCCATTATGTAAATCTGTGTATCCTTGTCTCATTCTTTGTGGTCCAACCATCACAACCATCGGGAAACACACCCGCATACGAAATCCGCGAACCTCCTGTTTGTCCGGGCATTGAATTTCTCTGCTTTACATAAGCAAAGTGGGTGTGATGCTCCTGCCCCCCCCCCCTACACACACACACACATACATACACAAAATAGACACTCTTGTTTTGTTTTCTCGGTTTCCACTGAACAAGGTCTACATTTAAAGGAACATCTTGTAATCAAGACGTTTTGCTCTGCTATTGGTAGCCTAAGTGTTATCTACTTGTCCACATAATACATCTGTCGTGAATCTCGTGATCTTTCTAAATCTTAAAATTATTCACAGTATCAACTTTTCCTAACATTTAGAGTCATTAACAGCTTTAAATTATATTTCTATAAGCACATTTATACAAATTAAAGACAGCAAAGATTCCAAAACAAACACCTTAAATAACCCAACCTTAAATAATAATAATTATTTCGTTTAATCGATAAAAACAAAACAAAAAAAAACGTTCTAATTATCATCTGTCTACCTTTCCAACAATGCGACGTGAATATAATATAGGTTAACTTAATGTAGAGTACCTTCTCAAAAGATTTTTTAAAAGTTCGTTTGTTTGTAGTAAACAGAAAGCTACATATTGAGCTATATATGCTCTGCCCACCACGCGTATCGAAATCCTTTTTTCTAGAGTTATGAGTCTGCAAATATACCGCTGTGCTACTGGGTGAGGAGGGAGTGAGCATTTTTTAAACGTACATACAACATTGGCATGTGTGCCTTCATTGAAAAGAAAACAGAAACTTCAGTAAACAACTAGAGAAAATTGATGCAACAAAAAAGCCCTTTTGTAAAACAACATTGGGTGTTATTTATTAAATTTTTATGATGAATTTCTCATTATGGAACAAATATCTAACTTTTATACTGAGAAGCAAGTTAGGTAATTTGTATGTACAAAAAAGTAACACAAAATTTGTGGTGGCATCTATGGATTAGTAAGGCACGTGGTTAGTGGATGTACAGTTGGAAGCATGCATCATTCGTGTTTGGTGTATGACAGTGCATGACAATGGTACTGTAAAATTAAAAGTTAAAGTAATATGATAACTTTAAGATATAAAAGTTATTTTAAATGTAACATTTTACTTACAGTAGTTTAACTGTTAAAGATAAATATTCTAACTAGATGAGTAGTCACTGCTGTTGATGGTATAATTTTAAATTTAATGGCTGGAATTTGGAAAATGACGTATGAACATTGCAATTTGAAGTTTAAAACTTTAATTTAATTTGAACTTTAAGTTTGAGTTATTACTATAACTATTATAATAAATAAGTGTATGAGTAGAACTAGATATAAAACGAAAGTAAGGGAATGACAAATCGTTCGTGCTTTTAATCTTTCTCTGTTTTCTGTGACGCCATGCATGTGTTAGCATTGGGTTTGGCATATATTATAACTAGTAATAGTATAAGATCATAACATAAACTTTGTATAAGTACAATGATGTATAATAAACGAAATATAGATTTTAATATTCATAAGTTACATCGATTTGATCGTTGTATAGATGAAATTGACTTGAACTTGAAGTTACTTTTTTAGTTTTTGATATCATGTCTACATGAGCACTTTAGTCCTGCATTTTTTAAAGTTACAACTTACATAGATACTTGACTCATTACTAGTAGTAGTAGTAACCTTTATCCTTTTCTGTAATATTTTAAAGTTCGAAAATTTATTGCCCAACTTGATGCTTGCCATTATTAGATAATGAAGAACCTGACATTAGTAGCAAACTTGTCACTGCTATAATCTCCAAAAATAACTAGATTAACAGCAGTTGCACAGGCATTGAGACAAATTAGTGCCAAGCAGTGGGAGTGGTACTCAACTTACTTAACTTCTGTGTGAATAGGTAAAATAACAATCATGTGGCATTGTATGAATAGAAAATGGGAGAAACTACTGTCACTTACATACAACCAGTGCTTAAAAATAAAAACTGACCCAACAAGTAGTATGGAGACTTACCTAGACCAGTTTGATTGGGACACTTTAACAGTAGGTAATGCTTCCAGGCATATTATTGTGGTCATATTCATGTGAAGAAAATGAATTTCCAATTTATTGCCATTTTGTTATAATAAAACAATTTATTACTGAACTATGGATGGATGAAGACCACACTAAATAAGGATAGATAGTAAATGCATTTTGAAACCTTTGCTTACTCTTTATTAGTATCAAAATTACTATGTTCATTTTGTTTACAGTCTACAGAATTTTTTCAATCTACTAATATAATGCTTATTTTTATGACAGTTATGTAAGAGATTATATTTGTTCAAGTATCACAGAAAATTCAAAGTTAATGCATTTGTAATACGTATGTCATTTATATGAATGTTATGACATTTCAATATGTAGTCATTTGGTGTCTGTCAGGTTTATGCAGCCTACCACAGTGAAAGTCTAATTTTTCATCCACTTTACCTCATTCTGTCACTTGAACAGACATTCTTTACAAACACAAAAGAAGTACTTAAAATTTTCTGCAATACTTTAAAAGATATAGTTGCAAAATTGTCAGGAAAAGCTATTACTTAAGTGCTGAATTATAAAGTATTATAGACCATCCATAATATAAATACTGCTACTTTAATTCTAGTTCTTGAACAGTTTAAACAGATAAGTGAAGTAAGCAAATGATGCATCTCTGGACACATTTATCATAAGTTAAGTCCCATCTCTTAAAATATTTTATCTATTGAAAATATTTAAATGGATTCCATTCAAATTTGTTCAGTTAAATATACAGTCAAGAAGAAGCTCAATCACTTAAAGCATCTCAAGCTGAATATACTGTTATTCAACAACCACATCCAGGATGCTTCAATTAAAAATGTTTTCACTATAATCAAATATATGCCTCATTATCCAGACACAGTTGTTGATTGTGCATGAATAAGTGTATTGTAGTGCTGTAAAATAATTAATTATAACTTTGAGTGCTGTTTATTAGTTGAACTAATATCATATGATTCTAATTTTTTTCAGTAACAATTGAAATTGTTGTTTTTGTTGAATTTCTTAGATTTCTTCTGGAAATCTAAACAACATGCCTTCTGGTCTTGAAATACTTTGGTTAGAACTTCACATCATGTTAGAAAGTACTCAAGAATGGCTGAAAAATAATCAGATAGTGCAGCGTTGGTTGGAAATGTGTCAGGAATACCCCATTCTGTCATTGTGTGTAACAATAACTGCTAGTTTGTGCTCGATACCACTGATAGCATTTGCTACTTTCATTCTGGGAGTAATGTTAGCCTTGTTATTGGCATTTTTATTCATTGAAGGTGAGTGTGTGTGTATATATACATATTTTTTATGAGTAATTGTCACAATACCTGTAAGAGGTTTTAAATAGCATTTCTCAAAACTTGCTAAGTGCAATGCTTTTTTATTGAAAAAATTGAGAAAATTGAATAAATCATCCTTTTTTTTAAATAATGATTAAGTACTTAACACTTAATAATGATTTACAAACTTGTAAAATGTATATTGCTCAAAATGTCATATTTGGAAAAGTTCAGAAAGATGTGTTGTACAGTACCATATATGTTATTAGTAGCTGTGATTTATCTTGTCTACACCAGTGTGAGGAAAGGATAACTTTATTATGTCTGTCTGACAAGTAGTTTAATAATGCTCTTAGTCTCTGAATTGAAATTAGTTTTTGTAATTTTGTTATTTGTGAAGTATAGTAAATCTTGAAGTTTATTTTAAAAACATTAAGGGATAAAAGCACTTGTGTTTTGATAAAATATGTAGATAATTGAGAAGAATTTACTAAAGAAGCTGGTGGGAGCTTAAGAAGGTACTTGAGAAAAAACATTTTTGACAAAAGGAAGATTACTGATGAAGTATTGATAATAAATTCCTGTAAAAAAAGGATTGTGTAAAAAATCTGGCAAATTTCAGTGCAAATGCTACTCATAAGATAATTAAATATGTTGTATGAGATCATTTGCAAATATTTTGTCTTGAAAACTGAAAGTTAAATGGGTAGCAGTGAACATAGTTTTAAAATATATTTTTTTTGTTTCACCAATTCTTTCATCTTGTGAGGAGACTACTGATTTTTTGTATAAGGGCTAACCTGTAGTTTATTTTGACACTATAAAACAACTTAAATGAATTTTAAAAGCTTCTAAAAAACTGGATATTGGAAGAGAAGAGCTTTAAAAAGGTTGAAGGAAGGTGGCCAAGGTGCTTAGTACATTTTAACCATATTAGAAGATCAGGGAATATTTTCTGCTCATTTATTCATGATGATCCTTTCAAACTGGTTAAATTTGTGGCCAGTAAGGTGGAAGAAGTGGTTACTGATTCTGAGGTTTTTCACCTAAAAGGTCTTTCTGGTTAAATACCCAAATAAGTTTGTAATTAGAGGGGAAACTGAAGAATGTTTACTTAGTGCAAAGATTTTAGTATGTGGTTGATAGGATTAGCAGGTTGTGGCAGGAAGTCGAAAAATTCTATTATGCAAGGACCCAGCTGACAGATGTTTCCATATATCAAAGCTATCTTTAAATAAATTTATCATTTTAAAACTAGTTTAATTATACATTTGATTTAACATCCAAACTATTGACATACATACCATACATAGTACTGATAATAAGGTTTCTTAAGAACTTACGAGTCAAAGCAAAGAAGAATATGTTAAGCACACTATATTTCCCATATTCATTATCCAGTGCCAATGAAGCCTTTTACCAAATACCATGGCATCAAAGCTGGCTGGGAAATGGCAGATATTATTAACCTTATCAAATTGGTAAGAAATTTAAGTAGATGAAAAATTTATTTTAGTGTTGAAAAGCAAAGATTGATGATCAATAGCGATTTTTCTGGTTGGGAGAAAGTTTAATATTGGAATCTTGGTATTTCATAAGTATATATTTTAGGATGTTATGTATGTCAAAATTTTGGATAGTTTTTTGAACAGTATTATTTTAAAATTTCCTAATTACTGAGATGCTTGAAATAATTGTTCTATTGAGTATGTTGCTCATGTTCAAAAGAACCTTGACTGTTTCGATAAGTGGTCTGTAAAATGAAACAAAAGGAAATCATCAGTAGTCATGGCACTTGAAATTATTTTAAGCAGAATTAGAGTAACTTAATTTATGAGACCTTTTCTTCCTTTTTATTAGCTATACTTTTGTGTGCCTGCAATACCAAGCATGGGGCATGTGTATACCCAATTCATTTTTTTTACTTATCAGGATCTCTATCAGCCAACTCTCAAATTGAAATTCTTTTAGGCAGGATTAGAGTAAATTAATTTATGAGACCTTGGGTGTGGTCAAATACATCATTCAAAAGGTTTGACCTCATGAGTCCTGTAATTAGGTCTCAAATCAGTCAAGAGATTAGAGCTATGAGCTAAAAAACCAAACAAGCTTGGAGTCATTCTATGAGCTGCTATGCTGTGGCTAAAAATGAGTATCTTTGATCTAAAACCTCATTTCACTATAAAAAATTTTTTCCTTTACTTTGTGCATATAAAAACTTTACGAGTTACGTCAGAATTTTCTTCTTTAATTTTTTATATTTTGTTTTGTAATTTTTAACCTGTCTTATTTTTTACATAGATATGTATTTCTAACTTTATTATTTGATATGCAACACTGTAGTTTGTAGGTGATTAGAGTTGCCAGGTGTCTCATGCAATATGCTTTCTTAAACTTTTATTAATTTTAAATCATTTGCATAAGTATATCCCCTCATTAATTTATTTGTTTCCCATATGTATTTTTTTTCTTGTTCTCTTATGATGTTACAGATTTTCCTCATTTTTAGGGTGATCTATTCACAAAAGCAGAGTTGCATATGAAGTTGCTAAGTTTATTTAATCAAGTATTCACATTTTGTTTACTGCACTCATCTATTAAACACATAAACAGAAATGTTCCTATGTTATGATTCAACTAATTTTTTAAGTTTTTGTTATTTCAAATAGTCATGAATCTTATAATTTTTAAAATGTTTGGCCAAATAGTTTGGGTCATTTTTTGTTTTTTGTTACTTAGCTGGTTTTAATTTTTTGCATTTATGGATTACGTTGAAACCTTTTTTAAATCCTATCAATAAAGCTTTTAAGCTAGCAGACCAAGAAAAATTATTATTATTTTAAATAATCATGACAGAAAATACCTAATTTTTGTTTTAAAGGTTAATGTGACAGGCCATTATGAAAAATGTCAAGTCAGATGTAGAAAATGATTGGTGGAATAATTATTTTACTGTAATATACACTACAGCCATACTGTTTTATTCATTAAAACTCTATGGAAAGTACTAGGCAGCAGCTATAATGACAAGTTTGTAAGTTTGTATTGCACTCATGTGACCTTAGTACAGTGAACTTGGCCACTTTGATGAACCATGGTGTGTCAACAATACACATGTCTGGTGTTTGTAAACAAAGCATCATTAAATTAAGGATGCACTACCTGACAAATGTTGTTACAATTACACTTAATGTTTAAAAGTTGAAAACAAAATATATAAATTTGATCAATTAATTAATCCATCAGCTGAAGTACAGTGATAACCTTATATGATTTTCATTATATTAACCTGGTTCAGTAATGATAATTCTTGTAAGATAACATTTTCTAATTATATTTCATTTTGTAAAAAAATAATATATACAACACACATGCATATATTATTTATTTTTTCTGCTCTTACTACTTTTGGGCTATTTAGTTGATATCAATGTAAAATAAACTAGAAGTAAACTTTGATTTTTGCAAGCAGTTTCTTCATATGTTCACCAAAACTTTCAAAATGAAGTAAAATGAAAGTCTGTTAGAAAATTATAGGATCAATATGAGCGGACATATTTGTAGTGTGAGGTTTTGACCAGGATATTGATGTATTTGATGAATCACTTTGTGGCAGAGAATTGAGTATTGTTCTTATATAATTGTAGGATTTAAAGAATTGACAGTTATTTATTCTTGTCTGTTTTGGATGAAGTCCTAAGATGACATTTTGATCACTTCTTACATTTTTTTTTAGACAGATCATGAAAATGAATGAAACATGACAATGTTTCTGTATTTCTACTGAGACAGTTGTTACAGATAAGAGATCTTAAACTTGTTTTCTTAGTTTAATAAATAAAATTAGTTAGTTATTAGTTATATTTTATATTGTGAAAATGGGGAACTTTCACAACAATATCTGAATCTGAAAATATAATCATGTATTTTAGGAACACTCTTGATGGCAGGTTTGGTTCTTTTGAGTGGGGTACTCATGGTGATCAGTGCTGCTGTAGTCAGTATTGGAGCTTCAGCTGTAGCTATTCTAGCTGTGTGCAACAGACTACAACATCTGGTGATGGGAGTGAAGAAGACAGTGACTGAAGATGGAGTGACACCTGCTTACTCTACCTCAGACAATTTTCAAAGAGCCCCAGAAAAAGGACTTTAAACATTTAGAATGATAATACAAGCTTGAACATGTATATTATGATAGTTTTGCCAAATGACTTTAGAAATGCTGAAATCTTAAATTGTGCACAGTCATAATTAAGTTAAAACCTTTAACCATATATATACCTTAAGAAGAATCTTGTTTGTTCATAAAATATATTGCCAGTTAACTTTATTTTAACTTTGGAACTCTCTTCTTCAAACTTAGAACTTTCTAGTTGCATACAATTTAATATTAGAATGAAGATATTGGTTTTTGTTTATTGTATATTTATGGATTATTTATTAATATGTAAATTTGATTAATTCCATGTTTGAAATCAAAATTTTGATTTAAAAGAAACTTTTCATAATATCCATAAGTTATGTATAAAGATACAATTCCACAAATGAAATTATCACTTACAAGCACAAATTTAAGTATACAAATCTTCTGTGTGACAAAATATAGCAGCAAGTATGCTTGTTACAGTCATATAAATTCTGTTTCCTATAAAATTTGTGTATCGATGTGAGAAATATATGGAAACAATCTGGGTGAAGTTTTTGCACTTAAGTTTTTCACCCCCCCCCCCATTTCTGTTTTTAAAGGGGCTAAATCTGTGTAAATCTTTTAAAGTGTTCCAATTTAATTTTGAATGTGCCTCAAAGTAAGGGAATCTAGTATTGATATGATTAAAAAAAAAAAGTTTGCATATATATTTTTCAATATACAGTCCTGATATTTTTGTCTTGCAGCTGTCTGTGACATAAAAATAGTAAAAACCTTTTTTGCTTTGTTTAATATAGTTCACAAATTTTTATGCTCCGTGTAGCTGTTTAGTTAAAAACATATTTGTCAAACAGTTTGTATATATTTAAAGTTCATGTTCTTGTACTGTAAGTAATCAAATCTTACTAAAATTAAGATGAGCATGAATATGTGTGTATGTAATCCATAGTTCAAATCATGTAAAGACCTAACCAAATTAATTCTACTTTATAGTTTTATATATTTAAAGTTCATGTTCTTGTACTGTAAGTAATCAACTCTTACTAAAATTAAGATGAGCATGAATATGTGTGTATGTAATCCATAGTTCAAATCATGTAAAGACCTAACCAAATTAATTCTACTTTATAGTTTTTGAGTTAAACTAAGTTTATTGTATGTATATATTTTATATTTAATAATTGGCCAATTAAAAAATTTTTCACATATTTCCTCTTTCCTGTCTGATAAGTATAATCAGAAATAACTGTCCAGACCATGTATATCTCAGTGTAGTCCAAGGGTATTGTAAATATTAATTGAATATGTGCATCCTGCTTTTAACTTTTCAAAATGTGCTTTGAACAAACAAGATCTTGTAAATAATTGTATCAAAGCTTGAACTAACAGAAGTAATTCCTCAAAGACTTTTAAATTTTCAGTTTTAGAATATTCTGCATTTTTGTATTTTAACTTTTGAACTATTATAACTCTGGATTGTAGAAACGAGTGTTTCCAAGACAAGGCAGCAAATTTTAATTACAACTGTAAAGCGTTTACTTATTCTAGCTTACTTATGGTGTGGGTGAAACAGTTAAGGTTACAATGGAGTTGATTTTTTATTATTTTGTTCTGTGTAAATGAATGGAATCGTTACATATCATTCTTTGTTGAAATTGGGTGTAAAACTCTGAGTATAATTCAAGAAAAATATGTATCAGACACCTAGAAAAATCTTAATAATACAACATAGATTAGCTAGAACTATATTAAAAAATAAAAAGGAATGCAAGTAACAATTTACAAACAGGAAAACACAAAGACATATTCTGTGTGTCCAGACGTTTGAGGGCAGAAGTAGGCAAACAACCAAACGGAAAGTTTCCAAAGTCCAAAGTTTCATGCATAGGTCATACAGCAAAATTCCTCAATATAGTGACAAAGTTTGATTCATTTGACACAACAGTGGTGACTAACACAAGATAAAAGTACTAGAATAAACAAGCCGAGTTTATTTGCAACTTTCATTGGTCGATCTTAAAACTGTACAATAAAAATGGAACAATCTTGAGCCATGAGCAAGAAAAACAGAGCCTTCAAAAGATAATTCTGTTTGCAATTCAACGCATGCTAAGTCTTAACATTTTATTATATGATAACGTCACATTTATTTTAACAAAAAGAAACTTAACCTGAACAAAATTTATGAAAAGTATGTCCCGAAATGATCACAAGTTAAAGGCATTAGAAAGATAAATTGTTTACTTGAGTTTATTTAGTAAAAACAAAGTAATAAGCTTAAAACATCTATATACATAACGCAGACTTGTCCGTCTATCTGGTGTCTTGAAATTACAAGTTGTTGTGAGGAGCTAGTTAATTAAATTGTGATGTAATTTGGTAGAACTCGGGTAATCCCCCGAAGATCAAATTTAAATGAATAAGTAATCTGTATAACGGTTAGAATTTAATGCAGGGCATAGCTCGGGTATCTTTGCTGATGACCCATATTCAGTAGATCTGCTTGGTGAATCACACATATATGCTGTCCCCGTTAAGTCAACAAAACAAATCCATGCGAGATGTGGGTACATTTAATAGTCAATATTGACACATAAAAACTTTAGTTTCTAAGTATTGACAAGATATAAAAATAAAAGACTTCTGACAATGGCCTACTGAGTTGGCGTATATGTAATGAAAAAAAAAAGTATCTGAATGATTTAGTGTTGTGAAACCTTCATGTTTTATTATATCAAATATGGGCATGAAAAAGACCTGATTTAAATGTTTTTGTACGATTACAAGGAAATTTTGTGTTTTTATAAAGCAGAAACTAGAAGCTCCTGTAAACATTGGGTGTTTTTGGCTCAGTAGTTTAAGAGTTGATTTGCGATATGTTGCTGAACATGCCACGCACTTTTAGCCATTATTGTTGTTATAACTGTAATTTCGTTTTAAAGACGTCTGACCGGGGGTGTTCAGAATAAACTTTCTCTTCAAATTCGATGACGAGGAACCCACTTTGAGACTAATAATGGTTGGAGACGGCTTGAATGGGTAATGAAGAAAAACTTTGATATAAGTTTAATATAACAGCAAATATACAACGTTTCGACAAGGTTTTGTCATCATCAGGTACCTGATTACAAAACCTTGTCTAAATGTTATACATTTGCTGTTATGTTAAACTTATATTAAAGTTTTTCTTCATTACCCGTTCAAGCCGTCTCCAACTATTATTAAACTTTCTCTTCGTCCCGCTAATGTGTTAAATTTCAACGAGTGGCTTAATGTTTAGAAACCTGTTGAAAAAAAACAAAAACGGAGGGAATTTAAAAGCTAAGACCAAGAAGTGAAAAAATCATATACGACTAGTTACCTGATATAGATTGATCTACACAGAATTTGTAAAATGCGTGAATTGATTGTAGGAGTAGCACAAACGGTGGGTAGGGAGCTAAAGGTCCAAATATCCTTAATTTAAATGTGGGAGGAAAACGGGAGTACCCTGAGAATATCCAACTTTTACTACTCGGATGCCGAAAAATCAATCCGAGTAGTGCCTGAGCTGAAAACTAAAACATAGACTGGTTAATACAATGTGACCGTAAATCCCCTATTCTAGGATATTCTGAGCTTCCGATTACTTATTCATGTCATATATAGAAGTAAGTGTATATAAGAGAGCGTTTCTAAAAATGGAAAGAGCTGGGCGGGATGCCAATGTGTTTGATTTATTACATGAGCAATCTCTTAGCAAATAGAAAATATAAAACGTTCTTATTTTATATTCTAGCTTGTCAATATCGGTAATTAGAGTTCCTAATTCGTTCAAAACTATAGACTTAGTATTTTGACATCATAAACAACTAATTTGAACCAGTGCTGTATTCAACATAATACGCGACACACAAAAATCGATGTTTATCTGTGTTTTTTAATATCTACTTTTAAAATTAAGAAATTATGTAATATATAGTACTAAAATTTTAATTTTAAGCTACAATCTGATACCAAAGTTATTGACATAAATTCATGAAATAGGAGGTCAATAAAATTTTGAATGGGAGTCAACAAACGAGATGACATGTCATTTCACCCGTTACCCGTCTCGAAAGGGTTAATAGTACTCTTGTAAGTTGTGGATACTGCTGATTTGTTGCCCTTACTATGGTCAGGAGTTTAAAATTAGAAATCAAAAGGTTTGAACTTTAGGAAGGAAGAGGTCAAGATTGCCTCTTACCCTCCAAGGTCCAAACAAAGACCTAAATCCTGATGAAGCAGAACAACGAACTTTAGGGGTCTCTACTAGCCGTTCTTGCGTCACAAAAGATGCTTTGGAGATTGAAAATACCAAATGCATTCTGAACATAAATATGTCAAACAATAATGTTTATTTCAAACTTTGGTTAAAGTTTTCAGCAGAAAATGAAGGAATAGATTAATGTTTTAAGAGTCAGATATAAAATTGTAGGAGTGTTTGTATTTGATAGACATTTTCACTTTTTGTGTCCCATGTACTTTTATGCGGAAGGAGGAGATTGGGCAGTTCGAAACTGAAAGCATATACTTTTTAATAATTACCTCCGCCACCTAAGGTGATGGAGGTTATGTTTTCACCCATCTCTGTGTGTGTGTGTGTGTGTGT